GCTAACTAGCCCAGGGATCTAAAGATATTATCTTCTACAAGGAAGAGCATTTGACTTCTATTTTTCCAAACAGTTGGTGTGATTGGAGAAATGACCAAGAACACGAGCTTCAAAATATTGGGTCATTCTTCTACATTAGAAATATTTCAGCCCAGGTCCCCCAGCTTGTCAAGAAACCCTGAGGACTGACTGGTCTCCAGAACAAGCTTCCCTGGGAGTTCTTCTGAGAACGCAGTTCTGAATACTCTTCTGTGTTGTTTCAGGAAAATCCTGTGGAAATGCCTTACCCATCTCTCTGTAACAGAAAAAAAGTGGAGAAAGACTATTTGCTTTGATGTAATCAGATTCTCTGGAATTTAATCCTATATGCTATTTACGCCTGGGCTAGCCATTCGAAATTAAAATGAACCTTCCATCCATGTGTATCATAAATGGGCATTTATCAGGATTATATGATTTTTGCAATCCATCTGAATACGTAACCAGAATTTGTTTTCTTTCCGTTTCACTATGTAATTACCATGCAACAATAACAAAAGTGACATGTTTGAAGAACAGATAAAATGCTGTAAATTGGCCAGTAATGGTGATATTTCCTCATCTTCTGAAAAACCCATTTATTCTCTCTCAACAAATCAAGGCACTGTCAGCCCATACTCATCTTGCGGCCAGAGGGGCTCCACCAATTTCTGGATGTGAGTGAGTCCTGGAATGCAGATGAGGCTAACTAACGAAGGCTTTCAGCGCAGCCAGCTGGTCTTTGCTTGCCTCAATTTCTAAATCACCCATAATGGGGCCAAGACCTCCCAAGCACTAAAAAGAGCGAGCTGACATGCTGGACAAACTGTTAATTTTTTTCCTGAAGAAGCTGCTATATTGCACATCTGTCACCACAGCGCAGACAATTACTCACTGAGTGGGGAGGAAAAAAAAATTCTGCTGCTTGTTTCTAGCTGAGTTGTTAAGGACTAGTGGAGAAACACAATAGTGCAGGGAGCAGAGCATGCAGCTTCCCGTGTGCTCCTCCCTCAGCTTAGAAGGCTGGCTGGTAATATTAAAGCACACGAAGTAGACTACGATGCATCTTGAAAATAGAACAGGATTTAGAAATGGCCCAGTGAAAGACTAGGTATATGAAAAGGTGAGAGGGTCAAGAACCAAGTCTAATAGACTAGGGGACACATTGCTATATTGCTGATTCCTAAATACACTATAGAAATGTGTTAGATGGTGTAATTCCGTAGAAAAACAAACTCCCAACCCAACAGGATAAATACTAGGAAACTGGCACTTGGAAGACGTGAGATCAGGTCAAAGGAAGGGGTAGAGGAGTGAAAAGTAGCCGAGGTAGAGGGGAGTATGCAGTCCTAATCTTCAGTTCATGTCCTCTGAAATTCAGAAAACACAGGGAAGGGGAGGTTGGGAAAGATGGAGGAGAACGATGGAAGGGATGGTATGAATTAAGTAGCATTTTGCTTATACACTGATTTATTGAGTGTTAACTCCTTTTACAACTACTTAAATAAAAAGACAATTAAAAGAACAAGAATGCTAAATACTTGGCTTTTTGGATTTGTATTTCATATCTTTTATGTTTGTTCTCCAGTGCTCCCCATCTGAAATTATTCTATACATTCCATACCTCTTACATAACATGGCCTACCTGTATAAATCCAAGTGAAACCCAGCGCCAAAGGGGAACAGCAGGATTCCAAACTAACCAGTCATCTGGTAATCTAGTGGGATCTGCTTTCATTTCTCTCAATCTCTGTGTGTGTGTGTCTCCTAAACTCATCTGTTGATGCTAACCACGAATTGCTGACATATGAAGAAATTTATTACCATAGTAGTATCCCAAACCAGTTTTGAAAAGCATATATCCAGTTTACTACTTTCCAAAGGACATTGACTTTAGGAAGAAGCATACATTTCCTAGAAATTTAATAGGAAGATAGAAACATATTGAACATAATTTGGACTGTTTTTATTTGGAATTATATTAGAAATTTCTTTTTTCATTTTTGAAGTACTGGGAATGGAACTCAGGGCTTCACACGAGTTCTATCACTATCACCCTTAGCCCATTATTAGATGTAACGGGGTAACAACCTTATAACAAACAAAAACACAAACACAAACAGAAGAAAACAAGAAAAAAACAAAGAAAGAAAAGTGTTGTATGTGCTTTTTAAGTTGGTAGTGATTTGTTTTCTAAACTCAAACTAAATGCCAGGGAAAACAGCCACTAAAGAATCACACCTTTCTTTATAGTTAGCTCCTAATTATGATCTAACTTCATCCTTCAAAAATTAAGGAATAAACACATGGCATTCTGATAACCCAACCAGAGTGATGTCTGTGAATTTAAGAATGATTTAAACTGTCTGAAAATTCAAAGACAGAAGACGACTCTAATGTACAGATAAAACTCAAAGTGGAAATAGTAGATCATATGCCTGGCAGTTAATGGCACTGACTCTCTTGAGACAAATCTGGATCTACTTAAAATGTCAGGTGTTTAAAGTAATGAGTCTTTGCTTAGTAGGAACCCAGCAGAAGGAGCCTTCATGGTCCACTTGTCAGCTGAGTATATATTACTGTGAGCCCGTTAAATAAATGAGTATTTAATACCTATTGGATAAAAAAAATCCACTTACTTTAACAACTCTACTGTTTTTGGAGGAGCAGATAAAATTTAATCAACATAAATACTGAAATGCTTTTTATAGCAAAGAAAACTCAGCACTTTGATGACTTTTACAAACTATTCAAAATGTCGAAGCAGGTTATGAGAAGCACAGCTTTCCAGAAGGAAATGGAGTGATTGTACCTCATGAGACCTTACCTTCATTGCTACTTTGAGAAGCCAGAGAATGAGACCTGTGCTATTTTAACAACCACAGAATCCTTGTGTGGAAAGAGACCTGAAGCCAGTCTGGTTTCAGGGGCAAACAAAGTGACTTAAATGTAGTAGAACAGCTTACAATCAGCAATGCATATATTTGCAAATATATCCACCAAATTATTTTCTCTAACTTGAGATATTCAAAAATTCCACAGCAGCAGTAATTAATTGAACTGTAACTGTAGTATTCTATCTTCATTGTAAATGGGTAAAAGTGAATCTTTTCATTTTTCCAGTGCTAGGAATTGAACCTGGCATGCATGCTAGGCAAATGCTCTACCATTGAGCTAAATGCCAAGCTGTTAAAATATTGCAAAGTGTCTTCACCTCTCTCTTTCATTACCTCAAGGTTAAAAAGGAAATAACTGAAGTTCAAAGATGACTACATAAATAACATTCTTAACATTTTGTTTTATTCTTTGTTTTACTGTACCATCAATGGCTTTCTGCCAAAAGCAAACTAACAAAAGAAACAAAAAACAAACTCAAAATATTCTTTAACAACTTCATTTTTCAGTACCAATTTAGATCACTTTTTTTTTGACGGACAATATACAAGTGAAAATGGTTGAAAAGATTATGTCAACAGTGATTTTCCTTTTATGAAATATCTGCTTAAAATGAAATGTACTGAAGAAAAGCAATTATGAGAACATTAATTGAAATGTTAAAATAAGCATATTAATAAAACAATATTTTGCAACAATGTCTGTACATTGCACATATATATGATCCAAATATACCTATATATACACATGTATTTTTAACGTGTCTTACAACAGTATGGGTTATAAGACCTATCAAATGCTGAGATCAATTTAGTGGCAAATTTTTGTTAGCAATGGATTTCCTTTTAAAAAGGTATTAACTGGTATGAAAATAAAATAAGCAAATTTGAGAGGATGCAGTCCTAAAACTTGAACTAAAAGGAAATGATTTAGTTCTAGCATATGGTCTGGTCAATGTCAAGTATAACAAATACATAAAGGATAAGAGCGTCACAGTGACAATGGAGTGGTCTCAACCAGTCTTGGCAATGGGAGGAATGGTAATTTCAACAGTAAGGAAACAGACTTCAGCATTAAAACATTTAAAAAAATTATATATAATGGAAGACTGGCTTCATGTGGGAGAAAAGGAAATATCCTAATCACTTGTTTTTTGCTCATCACAGGGCTAAAACTCAGAGACTGGGAGCTGTCCCTAGGCCTCTTTGTGCTCAAGGCTAGTGCTCTATCTGTTAGGCCACAGTACCACTTCTGGGGTTTTCTGAGTAATTTATTGGAGGCCAGAGGCTCACAGACTTTCTTGCCCTAGCTGGCTTCAAACCGTGACCCTCAGATCTCAACCACCTGAGTAACTATGATTACAGTCATAAGCCACTGGTGCCCAGCTATTACTACTTTTTAAAAGAGATAGAAATGATATATCCTAAACCATGAACCATGCTTTGGACTCGTGGGCATATTAACTTACAAAAACTAATATAATTATGTATAAAACACACACTAGGGAGTCTCATATCCTGAGATATTTGACTTATACTATTTTATATTTTGTGTTTATTTCTCCAATTAAACCCAGAACATCAAGTCTAAACTTTCCCCCTCTCTCTGTCTTTCTCTCTCTCATACTGGGACTTGAATTCAGGCCCTCATATTGTTTTTTTTTTTTTTTGTTTTCTGTAGAGAGCTGCGTGCAGCCGCACCTTAAAGATGGCGCCGGCTTCCGCCCTCCGCCTTCCCGATGGTGAGCGCTCTCTGTGGTAAACAACTCCTTATTTGGCTAAGGCATAGAATCTGGCTTGCTTCCTCGCACCTGGATCTATTGATGGCTCCCACGTGGCCTATCAGGGTTGGTTACCCAGCGGGTATGTAAGGTTGTGTGGGATTCTCCACGGGGTCAGAAGAATGCTCAAAGGTCCTGAATAAACTGCTGAGAGAAGAGCTCGATGTTGCGTCTTTCTTAATGGTCGAGACGGACGCAACAGTTTTCCTCTCACAGCTGATCCTCTCTCTACTGCTTGAGCCTTATCTCTAGTTAAGCTTTTCTTCTGGTTTATTGGAAACAGTCTTTCAAAATTTCCTGGCTGGCTTCCATATGTAAACTCAGAATCTCAGACTCGTGAGTAGCTAGGATTACAGGTGTGAGTCACCGATGTCCTACTGTGCTTAGTGTCTGAATGCTGAACACATCCTACAGAGGAACAGGGAAGCTTGGGATGTTCTCATCAACTATGCTGAGTGCTGATTCTGTACAGTTAGACATTTCAGGAGCATGTGCTATACTTTAACCCTGTGGGCCACAGAGAAGGCTCTATGCATCAGGATAAAAAAGCTTCTTCTCATTGTGGGAAGTACTGAGAGATTTTTTTGGATGTTAAGAAGTTCACAGATTTCCGGGTTTATGCCTTTCCAGGATGGCAACAATGAGAAGCATTCCAAAAGCTGCATCTTTTGTTAGGAGCTTCTCCCTAGCGGTGTGGTGTATGTGCCAGTCATATTCATTAGGAGGGCTCTACATCCATTAGAATCAGGTAGGATGAAAAAAAAATCACAACCAAGTCTTTAGGAGCCTGAGGACTCAATGCTATCAGTGATTCAAAATTGGGCTATTTGAAACTCTGGGATATTAGAAGATCTTTAGGAAGAATTTAAAAAATTTTTAAAATATGCTGTAAAGTACAATATTTGATTACAAATGTTTCAAAACTTGTATATAATCTTTGCTATCTTCCCCACTACGTAAATAGAATGAACACAGGGAAAAAAAATCATGAAAAGAATGACAAGTCTCTTCTAATGACAAACTTGTAGAAAGAAATCACACAGCAGGGTTGCTTTAATGAACACAAACATTCCACTGGAGGTATACAATGTCCTAACTGCTTCTCCTTTGGACCCTGATACTTCCAGGAAAGAAGGTAATTCTCAAAACACACATGTACATTTGGCAAACTGTTAAGGCTTTCTTTTGAATGGCAGATTGATTTTTCCCCTCCCTAGTTGGCAGCAGTTTTGTTTTTTGTTTTGTTTTTTTTCAAGGGAACCACCTGAGAAAGTTTTGCCACATGTCTACACTTTCTCTACTGCCTTAAAAACTCTTTTTTGGGGGGCAATTTATAAAATTAAAAAACCTATTAGAGGATTCACAGGGGTTATCTTAACCTTTACTTAACCAACAAAGACAATTATTAATAGAATAATAATTATTTGTTCCTTTAATGATGATAATAAATCAGCATCTTCTACCAGCAATTTAGGTTTTCTGGCATGACAAAGAAAATGGTTTCAAAATAACTTCGTCCTAGGCACAGAATAAGACTGACTGTTTTGCTTAGTTTGAAAATAACAGCCGAGACCTGAGAAAGGGCAGGTCAGTCCCCTCTCTTTCTGGTAAATAAACAGAATTCTTGGGAGAGCCATTTCAGTCTTCAAATAAGTTGATTCAATAGTCAAACAACTTGCTTCGGTGATTAAAATTTAAAACCAGATGACTACACCTTGAGTTGATCTTTGGGAAGTGAGAGGTAGACATTGGGATGAATTGAATTTACAGTCATGGTGAATTCAAAAATACATATTTCTTTCAATAATTACTTTCTGCTCTAAGTGAGGTAAAATTTATAAAGTCTGCATTAAAATAACGTTCAGGGCACTATGGTGAGAACAGTGATGAGGTGTATTTTTCTTAAAATTGTTTTTTGTCCTCTGTGAAATTCGTATTACACCTACTAAAATCAGAAATTTAATGGGTATCACTCTTCTTAGACACCTTAGAAACCTTTCATGAGAAAGCTAGGTTCAAGGACAGAAAACTGCCAAGCCTTTCAGAGATTTGTTTAGCACTTTATCAAGAGAGCTATCAAAGAGGACTACCAGCCCTCATTCCAGACCAAACTCTTTAGCATAAGCATGACAGGAAACACTCTTTTCTGGTCTAGCCTAAATTTAGAAACTACTGGATGTTCTCACACTTGCTTGGACATTAAACACACACATGAACTGAGTAAAGCATTAGTAATTACTGACATCTAAAAACCACAATAAATAAGAGACAAAACTGTCCTTTATATCTAAAAATAAATGGCAATTACTGAGAAAATTTCAAGGGCAGAGGCTTTAGCACCATGGATTCTGTTAAAATTCCATCTCTCACTGTAACAGGATTATCTGAAATTAGGAACTTAGTGAGATGAATTTAGGGGAATGGAGATTTCTGCTTCAAACCCAGAAACTATATTGTAGTTTTACTACAATGGCATAAGGAACAGGAACTGTAAAACATTTCTTCTTTGCTTTACTTCTTAAGTGGATTTTCCTGAATTGGGGGTAGCAGTTGCAGGAGTGCTTTTTGGTAGAGGAAATCCAAGTCCTAATCCCTTTGGCCTCTGCATGGCTTGAATTGGCTCGGAGATTCCCTTGCCATCTCTCCCCAGGCCTGACCCAGGTGTCCAGCCCATACTCTGAAGCATTCGATTTCCGATGTTGCTTTCTAGGATTGGCTGGGCATTTTCACCTACAAATCCTGAAATGAGAATATGACAAAATAAGTTAGCATGGAGGCTGATGATGTTCTTAGACTCTAACCAAATTCGTCTAAATTTGTTCTAAAGTTTAGAAGAGGGTGTTTAGTAATCTTTGGGTTCAGTTTTGGTTCTTTATGGAGTAGAGGACAAGAGATCTATGCACAGGAAAGAAAGATTTTGCTTTAAATTTCAAATCTACCATTTAGTAGCCAGGTAGGTTATTTAACTTTATGGACTTTTGTTTTCTCATCAGTAAAAGAGTTGTAAGTAATACAACATAACCCTGATTATTGTATGCAAAATTGTAGGATCTGATTGGACCATATAAAAAAAGAAAGCTCTTTGTATGTGAGTGTTTTTTTTTTCATTAACATACTAGCCAAATAGATACTTGTGAAAATCGCCAACTTACAAACAAAACAGTATCTTAGATTTGTTTAGGACTTGTCACAACAAAAGAAACAACCTCCTCCCCACAAAAGAACAAAACCCCAAAATCAAACCAAGCCAAAAGCACAACTAATGCCACCCCAAATTCCTATGAATTTACATTCTCTTACAATGTTCCTTCCCATTATTTTCTATTCAATTTGTCCTATCCTTTTATTTTCTTCTTTCTCTTTCAGGGCCACGTTTCTTTTTCTTTTTTTAATTTAATTTTATTGTCAAGGTGGTCAAAGTGATGTACAGAGGGGTTATATTTACATGGGTAACGTAGTGAGTGCATTTCTTGTACAACTTGTTACCCCCTCCTTCATTTTTCTCCCACTTTCCTTTGAAGCAGGACCATGTTTTAATGACTACAGAAGCAGGTAAGGAGAGCAAGGAAAAAAAAAAAGGAAGAGAATGTTGAAGCAATTATCTTAGAAAAGACACAGCAGTCCTTCCTAAGCCTACAGGAATAACGGCATCTCATTTTTCAAAAATCCCTTTGATGCTTGTCACAGGCGGCTCCAGCCTGATTCTAGGGGATACCTTTCCTTCTGAAGTGTGACCATGTCCTCCAAGACAGGAGGTGAATGGGCAACTCATCACTTTCAAAGGCTCATGAGTCAGACAACTGGTTAGCATAATCACAAACATCTGGCTTGATATTTTCCTCCCTAATTCAGGGTTATTATGAGGCTTCTTCCCTATTTTTCCAAGTTGCTGGAGATGAGTTTTAATAACTATAGTTATTCTTTACTACAGAACAATCATAAGTTGATTTTCAAGGACCTTTATGAAACAATTTAATTTTAGGTCTGGGAATAATGACAATAACAATCTTTGCTATTTGCTGAATTTATTAGCGAGAATAATAATTGGGCTACTATAATAATTAGTTGGCTTTGGGCTTATTAAATGGATTCTTAGATCACTGAAACAAGTTCCTTAACAATGGACAGGACAAACACCAACAACCTAAGGCCTGAATCACAATGGCTGATGTCAAAAAATTCTAATTTAATATTTTCTGTCAGGAAATTTCTTCATGTAAATTATTTATTACTTGATTGAGATAAAATAAAATATGTGTAAGTGGCACTGTAGCTCAAGTGGTAGAGCTGAGGGACAGCGTTCAGGCCCAGAGTTCAAGCCCCACCATTGACAAAAAATAAATAATAAAGTAAAATATGTATATATATATATATACTATGTCTGTCTCCATGTGTACATTTATATATATATGCATTTGAGAGAGAGAGAGAGAGAGACCCTAACACAGAGAGAGAATAAAAAAATCACCCAGTCAGAAGAAGCAAAGAAAAGCCTTTAATAAAAAAATCTTGGTACATAGCATTGAGCAGATGCACTATATTCATAAACTGCTTTGTTGAATGACGTCTTTGTATAATTACTTAAGGATAATAAAAATATTTTTTCAAAGCATTTAAAGTTTTGCCATAAATTGTGATTGTGATGACCACCCAGCCAGCCAAGGTTATGTAGGTTTTCTGGGACAAGCCACTAATCAGGTATGCCAGGGTAAACAGGGCCCTAGCATTTTGCTTCATAACCCTGAGTTTTCACTGAGTGCATGAGTTAACTCAGTCCATAAGCTAAAATCAGATCAGAGGTCTAACACTGCTCTAGGCCACACATCTGTTTGCACATTCTTTTTGTACAACAGCTTGCAGAGGTTCAGCTGAAAATTTTTAATATTTAAGGAAAATGCCAGGCCAATTTAAAACATTTCTACAGAAATTGGTAAATAATGCTCAACTGTAGTCATGCAGTGAGCAGAAAATGATAACAGATTCACTATCATGACTTTAAATGTGGCTTTTTAGGCAGGGAGACCTAGGGTGATCAAGGAACTCACTTTCTCAACAAAAAAAAAATAGCTGGTTCAATTTCGTGTCTTGATAAATATAAAATGAAAGAAAGCTGTAACATACTTGGAAGAAAAAGAACATTTAATTCCTCAACTTCCATATTAAAAAATAAAAAAGAAGAAAAAGAAAGGAATCGGTGCTTCATTTGTCATGGAAAACCGATGCTAGTGAGAGAGATGCCCTGTTGTTCTCTCATCCTAGTTTTATGAGATTAAGACCTGGGAGTGAAATAACGCAGTCCCAGCACAGTATATTCCTCAAGCACAATTTCCTTTTCTTTTGCTCCTGGCAGTGCTAAATCCTTTAAGTCTTTTCCTAGAAGGCTCTCTTTCTGCTTGGGCAATTGTAGAAAACTAGCCTGCTAACCTAACCCTTCCATTTCATGCCCCGGCTCCTGGCTGGCCCCCCGTCTGCTGGAGCGCTTGTATCTATTACAGCCGACTTGGGCCTTTCTCCTCCAACATTCCAAAGAGTACGGTGGAGGGTAATTCACTTGTGTAATTGGCTCAAGAGATGAAAATCTTCTATCGGTCTCTCTTAGCCACTAATCTATCCAGCTGACTGCAAGCCTAATTGGCAGCTTGTTTAGTAATTTGGCTCCAAAAGTGTCGTATTGATGTTGGATCAACAGCTGATGGAAAGGGAAGCGACACAGGCTGTCTCCCATGGAACAGCCAGTGTCGTCCACCTTGGCCCTACTCTGCATTCAGAGGGCAGGTGTTAGCTTACTATCACTCTTCCTTCCCTCTTCTCTTCCATGTCACTCTCTTAGCCAGCTGAGGGGCAGAGTTATTGTTGCTATTACTCTTACTGATGTTATTAAAATTGTGAATTAGAGTATGACCCTACATCCTTGGTAATGAGGGAAATGGACTTCGATTATTTTTTAAAATTCAAGGAGTTGCATTAGTTAAGCATAATTTGAGAATAGTGTAGTATTATTATTGCTTGCCAAGTTTTCACTTAACTATTTTATATCTGATTGGCAATATCACAATGTCCATATAACTTGAAACTGCTTAAAAATATTCTATTTAAGTAATGGAAAGATAATATAAAACCAGTTTCCTTTTTTCCTTAAGTAACGAAAGAGAGAGAGAGAGAGAGAGAGAGAGAGAGAGAGAGAGTGTCCTGAGGCTTGAACTGAACTCAGGGGACTCTTATCTCCAATAAACTACCAAAAAGCGGCTTATTGGTAGTTTATGGGAGATAAGAGTTTTACAGACTTTCCTCTCCTGGGTGACTTCAAACCAAGATCCTCAGATCCTAGCCTCCTAAGAAGTTAGGATTATAAGCATGTCCCACCAAAAATCAGCAAGTTATGTAAACTTCACAAGACAAAAGTCCTATTGTGCTGAGTGAAGTGAGTGTTCTTGGATGTTTTGAGTATACAGAAATACATTTTATGTTTTGTGCAGTCACTGAAGCTTGAGATCACACACTCCTTCCTCTTTTTCACTCATAGCTAGTGTTCTACCACTTGAGCCATGCCTCCAGTCTGGTTAACAAAAATTAGATTCTCTCAGACTTTTCTCCCTGGGTCTAGCTTTGAACCACATTTCTCAATTCTTAGTATCCTGAGTAGTTTAAACTTCATGTGTGAGCCATTGGTGCCTGGTCAGAAATACATTTCTATGGAAGAAGTATTAAAAGACAACAACAACAACAACAAATCTTTCAAGAAAACTGTATAGCTCTCAAAGGCACATGGTATGCTTATTTGCTATTGTTTGTCTCCTATAGAGCTGGCCTGGGCAGCCCTGGGCTGGGTACATGACATGATCTCTACTCCTGAAAACATTAGGTAACTGGGAATTTCAGTGGTCAATCATACAGAGAAAAAGCCGGGTTGAAACATGGGTCAAGCTTATTCCAAAAGGCTTATATACTTCCCATTACCTTCATTGCTTTCCTACTAAGACTTTTAATGGAGACAACATTTCAAACCATGTTAAAAATCATGGGGAAATGTGTGAGTTTATATGTAGATGCTATTTGACATAGTTGGATATCAGCTTAGGATGACCACAGCCCTAAAAGTTACAAATGTTTGCCAACCATCATTTCTTTTTATCTTCTGTATCAGCATGAGAGACAGGCAACATTGGCCTCATTTTATAGATGAAACTGATGTCTGAAGACATCTAGCTAGAAAATGTCCCAGTTAGAACTTGAACTTATGACATCTGAGTCCAATCATTTCCCTTTCCATTAACTGAAGTTAAAAAGCTGTATCTATCAACAGTATTTTCCATTATGTTATTTCTTTTGCCATATTTTCTCAAAGTAATTACTTTAATACTTGAATATTTTAATAACTCTGACAAAGAGACAGATACCTCAAGATTCAACTTAAAACTCAGCTAGTCTACCTTTGTTTGACTAGTATTTAAAAACTGTGCATTACATTTTAGTGTTATTATAAAAAGTATATACGGGGCTGGGAAGGTAGCTCAGTGGTAGCATGCTTGCCTTGCATGTATGAGGCCCTAGGTTAGATTCCTCAGTACCACCTAAGCAAAAAGAAGCTAGAAATGGTGCTATGGCTCAAGTGGTAGAGCACTAGCCTTGAGCTGAAGAGCTGAGGAACAGCGCCAAGGCTGGAGTTCAGTTCCCATGTCCAACAACAACAAAAAAAGTATATATGGATTTTATTTTTTTTATTCATTATAAAATTGCAG